GGCCCACCTCCCTGGGTTACTGTATGTACCGCATTGTCAGTGTCAATGTGTGGAGGGGCCGTGAGACTGCGGCCCACCCTGCCTATGTTACCTGTATGTACCACGTTGTCAGTGTCCATGTGTGGAGGGGCTGTGAGACTCTGTGGCCAGCCTCCCTGTGTCACCTGTATGTACCACGTTGTCAATGTCCACATGTGGAGGGGCCGTGAGACTGTGCAGCCCGCCTCCCTGTGTCACCTGTATGTACCACGTTGTCAGTGTCCACACGTGGAGGGACTGTGAGACTCTGTGGCCCGCCTCCCTGTGTTACCTGTATGTACCACCTTATTAGTATCCACGGAGCTTTAACTACAAATATTTCATGATCGCTTACGTCTGCTGCTCCTCTTCTCCTTGTCTACCTTGATATAGTTGTGGACTGATTGGATTTATTGAATGGATATACAAACAGTTCAAAATTCAAAGCTAAGAGAAGAATACACAGTGGCCGCTGCCCTCTGCTAGCAGCTCCCCTCCTGGGGGTGGGAACACTGCAAACTCCACCACAGCCCGTGGGCATGTGACAAGCAAATGCAGTGACCGGTGGCTTGACTAAAGCAGGTTTTCACATTGGCGACATTTAGGATGCTTGGTTTTTTAATACATTTAAAGAAAAGGCTTTGTTCTCTGTTCAGAGTCCAGGATAGGATCCCGACATCTTAAGAATCTGAGTGACAAAATCAGTGAACCTGAGTGAAAATTTAGAATTGGTAGACACCTCTGTTAGCGTATCATCCCGGGTGCTCCTGGACGCAGGACTCTCCACACGTCTGGTTGGTGGTCCGCTCATCTCTGATTAAACCTGACCTTATGACAGCCCACCCTGTTAACGACTGGATGCCGTTTTAATCACTCTACTATGTTTGCTTTCCTACCCCTGCGGTTTCTGTGGATTTATCCGACTCTGCCCACGGAGGCAGCACAGTCCCCCGGCATTGTGGCCCGGAATATCTAACGCGTCCAAGTGTGAACGATGTCAGAAGGCACTGAGGCAGCACAGTCCCCACCTCAGCATTGTGGGCCCAGAGTACCTAACTCATTCGAGTGTGAACAGTGTCAGAAGGCACTGAGGCAGCACAGTTCCCCCACCTCGGCATTGCAGACCTGGAGTATCTAACGCGTCCGAGTGTGAACAGTGTCAGAAGGCACTGCCGCAGCGCTCCTGCTATTTTTAGTGTCCTGCTATCTTTAGCTGATGGAGTCAGGCCACGGTGAGGCCAGCAGGCCGCTGAATCTCACGGAGGCTTCAGGAAGTTGTGACGCTGGCCCCTCAGCTTGCGGGAAACCTGCGAGGAAAAAACACGCAAACTGTTGTTGTTGTCAGTGATGAATCTGGAAGCAAATGGGGAATGGTTGTTACTTTTAAATGGCTCCTGACAATGGTTTGGCCAAGGCTTAGACGTAACAGTAATACTTACTTTTCCAATATCCAAAGCTTGAACTTCGGAAAATGGACAGCATAATTTTTAGTTATAGATTTGGGAGCTGGGAGGGTGCAGAGTCTCATTCTGTGTCCACGCTAAGTGCAGCTTCTGAAGGTGGTGGAGGGCGAGTTTCTTCATGGGAAATAAAACAGCCCATGGGAACCCTTCGCAGTGACCCACGGAGACCATGGATCGCATGGGAGCCGTGGGGCCGGTGGCCTGGAAGGGGGCACCCCGCAGTCACATGGTAAGTGCAACCTCGGAGGAGTCCAGTCCGCCAGGACACGGGCAGCCACAGAGTTTCTGTACTGGAGGTGATGCTCATGCTGTTATCTTTATTTGCGTGGATCTGTGATTCACGTGGATCTGAAGCCTCGTGGAGGCCGGAGGACAGGCATTGATGAGGGAAGGTGAAGATGGCAAATTCCTGGCATGGAACAGTTTATTCTCAAAGAGCCAGCTGAGCCCACAGCAGTTTTGTAATCTGGAAGCTCGTTGCTGGCGTGTGATGTGATGATCTCCCCTGCTGATGTGTGAATAACTCCTGACACATCCCTGTTCTCTAGTAACACGGTGCTAGGCATGGGACACACAGCCGCTTCCCAGGAAACCTCGCGGCGTGAGCACCGGGTGCCTGCGCAGGTGCGGAAGGACGGGGCTCGCAGTGCGGGGTCTGTGCAGGGCCTCCTGGTGAAATTGCGCTCTCTGGACACACTGCTGAGTCCATCACGTGAGCCCAGCATGGCAGATCATATGTTTGTAAATGAACCTTAAAAGGTGAGGTTTTTAGGCTTTCAAATATTTGGGGGGAAAGGGTAGAAAACTGCCCCCAGGGGGCTTGAATGAATCAAGTCGCACTGCAGAGCAGGAAGGATTTTCAGAAGTGGATGCCGCTGTGACAGCAGCAGATCGGGGGCGGGGTGGGAGGAAGTGGGTCTTCGGGCAGCACTTTCTCTTGGGACAGGTGTTCTTTCCGTAGACAGTCTCTTTATCTATTTTTTGAGACAGACTCTGGCTCAGTTGCCCAGGGTGGAGTGCAGTGGCACGATCCCCGCTCACTTGAACCTCCGCCTCCTGGGCTCACACGATCCTCCTGCCTCAGCCTCCCGAGTAGCTGGGATTAAGGTGCCTGCCACCACGCCCGGATAATTTTTGTATTTGGAGCAGACACGGGGTTTCACCATGTTGGCCAGGCTGGTCTCGAACTCCTGATCTCCAGTGATCCACCCCCTTCAGCCACGAAAGTGCTCCAGTGATGCGCCTGCCTTGGCCTCCCAAGGTGGTGGATTACAGGCATGAGCTACTGCACCCGGCCTCGTATACAGTCTTTCTTAGATAAAACTTGAAGGGTTAGCTTTATTACTAAACAGTTTAGCTTTATTACTGAAGAGAACAGAAATGCCATCTAAGCAGAAATAGAAACTGTCAGAACTCCTGCGATGACTACGCCACACGCTTCATTCCCACTCCATTCCCAGCCAGGAGTCCACATTCCAGCCAGCTGAGGTTCTGTAGTTGATAATCAATTGCACGGCACTCACCAGTTTTCTGTTGTATTTATGAGTAAAGTTTTAAGTGTGACGATGTAAGTGAAAATTCGAGAGTGGGAATTGGATGTGCATGAACTCATTGCCTATCGATGGCCCAGCAGGTACTGCTGTCCCCAAGGAAGGTGTGGGAGGAGACAGTAGGTGTCACTCATGTTCATGGCTGTCCCATGAGGCCTATCACGTCCTACCCTATGAGATCTATCACGTCCTATCCTGTGAGACTTACAACGTCCTATGCTACAAACATATCACATCCTGTCCTTCAAAAAATGTCTCATCTTGCCCTCCAAGACTCTAGGAGCAGGTGCATAAGTGCAGGTAAGGGCAAAGGCAGGTGAGGAAGGAAGCAGTGGCCCGAGGGGTGTGTGGGACAGTGTGAGTCCCAGCAGTGTGTGGGGGAAACCTACTAGATGGTGGAGAAATGGGGGCGGGTGGGGGCAGGTGGCCCAGGTTCCAGCATGGGAAGGTATGGTGTGCGGACGCTGGCCTCCCCAGGTGAGACGGTGGCCTGCGGCGGCGTCCTGCACACACCTGTACCTACAGTGTTGTGCAGTGAATAAAAGGCTCCGGCAGTGAGTTCGGTCCTGTTGGGAAGTTGGTCGGGGGTTTTAGGGACGTACGTGGCAATAATTGCATCCCAAGCAGCTCCTCCATTCAGGGCCCCTGACAGTCTGGAGTCTGAGGAGCCACAGACGACCTTCTGGTTCATCCATTGTGCTCAGAGGTGGGAAACTTTAAACGTTTCTAAATTAAAACAAAGTCTGACTTACTGTAGAATAGAATGAAAACTTTGCACAGAAATGTAAGAATATATACAAAAACAAAAAGAAATAATGTGTTGTAGTGGGTGATTAGAGGTCCTGGGCCAGTGAGTCTCTCTCTCCCCATCCTCTTCTTTCTCACTCCCTGCTTCCCTCTCTCTCCAGCTGCATCTCTCTCTCTCTCTGTCTCTCTCCAGCTCTCTCTCTCCATCTGTCTCTGTCCATCTGTCTCTCGCCAGCTCCGTCTCTCTCCAGCTCCGTCTCTCTCCAGCTCCGTCTCTCTCCTGCTCCATCTCTCTCCTGCTCCATCTCTCTCCAGCTCCATCTCTCTCCATCTGTCTCTGTCCATCTGTCTCTCGCCAGCTCCGTCTCTCTCCAACTCTGTCTCTCTCCTGCTCCATCTCTCTCCAGCTCCATCTCTCTCCATCTGTCTCTCTCCTGCTCCATCTCTCTCCAGCTCCGTCTCTCTCTAGCTCCACCTCTCTCCAGCTCCGTCTCTCTCCTGCTCCATCTCTCTCCTGCTCCATCTCTCTCCAGCTCCATCTCTCTCCATCTGTCTCTGTCCATCTGTCTCTCGCCAGCTCCGTCTCTCTCCTGCTCCGTCTCTCTCCAGCTCTGTCTCTCTCCAGCTCCGTCTCTCTCTTGCTCCATCTCTCTCTTGCTCCATCTCTCTCCAGCTCCACCTCTCTCCAGCTCTGTCTCTCTCCAGCTCCGTCTCTCTCCAGCTCCACCTCTCTCCAGCTCTGTCTCTCTCCAGCTCCATCTCTCTCCTGCTCCGTCTCTCTCCAGCTCTGTCTCTCTCCAGCTCCATCTCTCTCCTGCTCCATCTCTCTCCATCTGTCTCTCTCCAGCTCCATCTCTCTCCTGCTCCATCTCTCTCCAGCTGCATCTCTCCCTATTTTCTCTTCTGGCCTTTGTGATTAAACTTGAGAATAAAAAGCACTTACAAATTTATTTTATGACAATATCTGCCTCTAGTTTGTTCATTTGTTTATTTTGAGACAGAGTCTCGCTCTGTTGCCCAGGCTGGAGTGGAGTGGCGCAATCTCGCCTCACTGCAACCTCTGCCTCCCAGGTTCAAGCGATTCTCATGCCTCAGCCTCCCGAGTATCTGGGACTGCAGATGCACACCACCATGCCTGGCTAGTTTTTGTACTTTTAGTCGAGATGGGGTTTCGCCACGTTGGCCAGGCTGGTCTTGAACTCCTGACCTCAGGTGATCCACCTGCCTCAGCCTCCCAAGGTGCTGTGATTACAGGTGTGAGTCACTGCGCCCAGCCTCTGCCTGTAGTTTAATTAGTGCCTATGTTTTATTAGGTGGCAAGTGTTGAATTACAGTTTTGATTAAAACCCTTCTATTTTAGAGTTGGAGCAATAGACACAGGTTTACATGTTATTTATCTAAAAATTTCTGTACATGCTTTTCTTCTAAACATACATTTCATTGTTAAATTGGGCATTAGAAGCATGATACATTTCTTAAAGAGTTAACTATACAGGCAAACGCTATTAATGTTTAACAAGGCATCTGTTTTTCTTCTTGTCCGTGCTCTTCCCCACAAAAGCAGAGAGGGGAAGCTGAGTATGGCTTGAGGGCACAGGGCGCGGGGTACAGCATCTCCGCTTTACTTAAAAATGAGCGGTGGGTGGAGGATTCAGGCACAGAGAGTGTGCAGGGCACATACAGGATCCTACTGTGCAGATGCAGGATCCACAGTGGGGACAGGATGAATCGAACTGTAGAGCTTGTTTGATGCAGAGATTCTTCTAGGCAGAAATGCGAAAGCTTCAGGTGTTAAGTTTCACTGCTGTTACTAACACTGGATATTAACAATTTAAAACACCTTTGACATATTTTCACTTGTATTTCATGTCTTTTGGTTAAGAGTTGAGCTGTTGAGCCTAGTTTTATTGTTGACTGGCTTTTTGCTGAAAAGCTAACAGGTTGAATGGTTTGTTAAATCTAGAATCTTCGAGGTAGGCCCACACTATCACATTAAACTCACAAGTGTGGATCACAAGTGAAGGAGTATTGCACAGAATTTTTTTCCTTTCCTTATAAAATGCATTAGTCTACGCAAAGAGAGACTACTTTAGGGGGGAAAAATCATATATTTAAAATATATTAACACTACCCTATATTTATATATTTTGGTTTCTGTTTTGTCTAAGAGTTCATTGTCCAAGTCGGTGGACAGCTGAATCTCATTTTTCTGACTCACTTCTGCGATTCTTACCTTCAGAGCTGCTTGGATTATTTAGCAGTGGTTCTCTCCTTTTCTTTCCGGTTTTAAATTAGCAGTTCTGTTTCACTGATCGGTCATTTGTCAAGCAAATACTCATTGAGTTTCTATTAATACCATTAAACCAGGCCTTTGTGTTACTTAGTTATTGAGAAAATGATTTCGTCTGGGTTAATGAGCTAAAAGGGCATGGGAGACAGTGAGCCACCAGGAGACGGGACACGGTGAGCCACCAGGAGACGGGACATGGTGAGCCACCAGGAGACGGGAGACGGTGAGCCACCAGGAGAGTGGGTGCTCCTGAGCTTCACTAGCTGTGCTGCTTCCAGCTGATAATGAGTTTTTGTTTGAGAAACTAAGCCCTCTGGACGGGGCCTCACAGCAGAATGGGCATGCAAGCTCAGCTGTTCCCCCCTGCTTGGCTTTTAATTGGTGCTGGGTGAGGCACGTGCAGGGGGCGGGTGAGGGGCAGGGAAAGATCCTTAAAATACTTGAGAAAAGGGCCTTTCCTGCAACTTGGTTAAGAAACCGTTGCAATCACAATAATATTGGACTGAAAGAGGTTGGTCTTCATGGAATTTTAGTAACCCAGAGTTTAAGACAGGAGTGAAATTTCTTGTCTAGTTCTAATTTGCAAACTGGAAAAGTGAGTCTGGGCAGAAATTGGGTTTCCAGTGCCTGTCGGTGACCTCAGCCATCAACCGCCGTGGAACCACAGGCTGCCTGGAGAGTCAAACCCTGACTGTATTGGACTCAAAAAATAAATATCAGTAACAAATGCAGACTTAGAAAGTGTGACCCAATGCTTTCACACTCCTCTGTACTTTTCTTTTCATCAATTAGTGGTTTTCAAAGTGGATAGCAATATGAATATTTCTCTTTTTCAGTGATACGGTTTTTCTCGTCACCAGAAAGCTATCCTATACCTTGTACTTGGCTCACGTGCCCTCATGGCCGCACGTGGGGGGCATCATTGTGGCACCTGGTGGGGTGGCAGGTGCCTCCTCCTGAGGCAGCAACCCCAAAAGGTAAGCACGGTTCTGCCCATGCCCCCATTTCCAGCAGGCCGTGTCAGCGGTAGGACCATGGATACCAACTGGCGAGGGGGAGCGCCAGGAGACAGAGAAGACGGCTGCCCGCTGGGGCTTCTAGTCTCCCTTCCAGGAAGGATTTGAAGTAGCTGACACAATTAAACACGACAGAAAAGAGGACTTAAAAAAAAAAAAAAGCCGAGAAAAATTTTAGCAGACGTCTGGGATAGATTTAGCTGTGCATTTTCTGGCAGTGAAGGTAAAAAAGGAAATCTCCATCTGGGTCTAATAAAAGGCACTCCATAGATACACTGGGGAAAAGAAACTTTTTCATTCAAGGGAGAATTAATTATAGAAGGACGCTGGGAAATCTAAATACCATAAACGGGTTTTGCTGACATTTCAAGAATGTTCAGATTGAGTTTTTTTTTTTCCGTTAAATAAAAAGTTGATTTCTTTGAGTGCCCCGAAAGCCTGGCATTGCATGGCAGCCCAGCAAGGCAGCCTTCGGCGCGACTGATGGAGGCTGTTTCCGATTGCCTGAGCTCACACAAGCACAGGAATTACAGAACCCACAACAGTGATTTCTGTGGGTTTGTCAACAGAACTTCTTCTCAAAGCATTTTATTTGTATAAATTTATAAATTCCAAGAGTTTATTTAATATGAATTCAGTGAAAAAGTAAGACTTTAGTGAACACAAAATCTGAAGCGAGAGGTTATGATGCTTGCTGGAGTCGATCTGTTCATTTCCAGGCTCCGTTTTGGTTGCATTGTGTAGAAGAAACCTTCACTCACGCAGATAAGAAGTCCTAAGTGGTCACAGGGCTTAGAACCCTGCACCGTGCAACCTCAAATAGCTCCAGAACCTTGACAGAGTCGTTACGGAGTTGAACTCACCAGCCATTGCGTGATTCATCTAACATCGCTTACATTTCCAACGTAAAGTTAAGCAGCGCACCAAACCTTTCGGCAGTCGCAAAGTGAGACTCAGCACTAAGGAGCCCCTGAGTTTTCCGAGGTGCAGCCGTGAGCCCAACGGTCCGTGTGCTCCTCCATGCCTCTGTGTGCATGCTGTGGTGCCAGGCCACCTCCCGCTCCTCCATCAGCGCATGCCCAGAGCCTGTGCAGGGCCTCCATGTGTGCGTGGGCATGCCCAGAGCAGGTGCAGGGCCTCCTCCCGCGCCTTTGTGTGCGCGTGCCCAGAGCAGGTGCAGAGCCCCTTTGACCTTGCTTAAGGGGCGCACTGGTGTGGACCATGGTGTCAGGATGCGGGTTGTGAGGGGCAGCATGGACAGAGGGTGAGAACTCGAGCCCTAATCCAACCACAGTGTTTGAACTTGACCGTATCACTTAGCACATGTTTTATCTTTGGTACGTTATCTGTTTTTTCTTAGCTTCAGTTTGCTTGTCTCTAAAACGGGGATTATATGGCACCTTCATGGGAGTTGCATGATAATCAATAAGAAACCCCTGTAGAGCTGCTAAATAGTGCCTGACACATAGGAACACACACACACACACACACACACACACACACAACTCAGCTAACTTTATAGGAAAAGGTGTTATCACTGTGTTTTCTGGGGTGGCCTGGAGCTTTCCTTCTGCGGTAGCATCTCAGCAACAAAGCATTATCTTACATGTGCTTCACGTTCTAGAATATGAGGGGTCTGAGCCACTGATGCTGTTCAGCCAGGAGCACCGCGCAGGTGAAAGAGAAGAGAGCTGCTGATGAGAAGTCCTGATCTTTCTTCTCCCAGTTAAATTAAAATGTGTGTTGTTTCCAGCGTGCCAGAAGTATATTTACAATATAATTGTGCAGGTTTTCTATATTGAGTATGTTTTGGAAATCTGTCCCCTAGTGGCATGCATCTAAGGCACTGTCCATTTTAGGCAGAGATGACAGTAAACAAATATATTACTAAACTTACATTAAGACTAAAAATTAAACTAGATTAAAATTAAAAACTTTTGTGCTTCAAAGGACACCGTTATGAAATTGAAAAGAAAATCCACAGGACGGGAGAGAGGATTGGCAGAGCACAGATCTGGTCAGGTATTTGTATCCAGGGCAGCATTGGAAGGCTGTGGAGCTGTTGGAACCCATATGTGCCTCTGGTGGGAGCGTTCAAAACCATTTCAGAAAACTGTTTGGCAGTTTGCAGTAAATATATGCTCCCGGAAACAACCCAAATGTCTGTCAACAGTAGAAAAAGCAAAAATAAATCGTGAAATGTTCACATTAAATAAAATGAACAAACAACATGGGTGACTTTTGACAGCCTAAACAAGGAAAAGAAGCCAGATAGAAAGAGTGTATTACAAGATTCATTGATGCGAGGTTCAAAGCTGGGCACGCCTGGAGGATGGAGGCAGAGGTCAAAGTGAATGAGACCTTGGCAGGTGGGAGGGCCTGCAGTCACAGAAGGGGCTTCTCAGATGCTGATGATGTTGTATTTCTTGGTCCTGATGACACTGGTTACCCAGGCGAAGGCTGAGCCACACACCCAGGGCAGGTTAGGCACTTTGTGAGCAAGTTATCCTTCGGTGAAATGTTCATTAAAACAGATCATGAGTCATGTAGTGTTAAATATTACAGATAAATATTTGTAATATATTTATTACAGGAGGGATGGGCTTCCGGGGGGGGTTGGCAAGGGCCAGCCATGCTGAGCTGTCGTGGGCATAAAGACCTGAAGGAGAGGAGGAAAGGGGCTGGGCTGAGGAACGGCACGGGCAGAGGCCTCAAAACAGGACTCAGCTTGGCTGTGTCTGAGGAGCCGTGAGACAGGGAGGTCACCGAGGGCCTCGTCTAATTTCTCCTTTCATCTTGAGTGGATGGAAACCTTGGAGGGTTTTGGGAAGAGCACGAAATGAGCGGGCTGTAAGGTTACATGGTCACTCTGGTTTGTATTGAGAGTAACTGCAGCAGGCTCAGCAGGGGGCTCGGGTGGAAGCCGCTCTGTGTCTTGGATTAACAAACACAGGTTTGCTGCCCATGCTACAGCGGTCAGCCTGGTTGTGCCTCCATAACTGGCCTCGCTGCTTTTTCATGGTGCAGGGAAATGCTGCTTCCGGAAGCCCATTCATAGTCTCCTTTGTAGCCTGAAATTGACCCTGGAACAGTTCACAGGCCCTCTCCCTCAGCCCTTTTACTTTTTTCTGAACCCAAGCTGTGGTCTGAAACCCTCAATCCTCCCATATCTTTTCAGCGCCAGCTTCCCAAAGCTCTGTGCCTTGGGATAAAGTAACTACAACTTGTGCCGGGCGCGGTGGCTCACGCCTGTGATCCCAGCACTTTGGGAGGCTGAGGCAGGTGAATCATTTGAGGTCAGAAGTTTGAGACCATCCTGGCCAACACGGTGAAACCTTGTCTCTACTAAAAATACAAAAATTAGCTGGGTGTGTTGGCGGGTGCCTGTAATCCCAGCTACTTGGGAGGCTGAGGCAGGAGAATCACTTGCACCCAGGAAGCGGAGGGTGCAGTAAGCCACCACTGCACTCTTTTTGCCCAGGCTGGAGTGCGATGCCACCATCGTGCCATCGCTCTCCAGCCTGGGCAAAAAGAGTGAAATACCATCTCAAACAAAAAAAAAAGAAAAGAAATAGCTTCAACTTAAAGCGTTAGCAACTCAGAAAAGTATGTGGCCCTCTGCTCGTGGAGCATTGAACGAACCTTAGATTATTGCCATAATTTACTGCAGATAGGAAAAGAAATATGAGTTGGGGCCATTTTGCTTGTTTCTTCTCACCAAGGCAGTGTTTGCAGTTAAGCCGACTGGCTTCATGCAGTGCAGAGCTCCTTTAAACATCGTGGGACAGGTGGGTCTGCCAAGCGGGAGCTTTCTGTGCTGGCCCAAGGCCATGTGGCCCAATTCTAGCCTCTCTGACCCTGTTCTGCTGCCGGCATGCCCCCCACCCACCCGCCTCCCCCTCCCCCTTCCCTCCCCCAGGTCCCAGCCATCAGCCGCGTTGTTTCGATGACTCCTCCCATCGAGGGAGGCCGTTGGCTCACCGTGGGATGACGGCTCCCATCGAGGCCGTTTCTCCTGCCCCGCCCCTACAGAGCCTCCCTTCTTGTGTCCCAATGTGAGTCTAGGGGACCCATGCAGTTTTGGGGCCTGCCTGTATGTCTTCTTCCCCTAGTGAAACAGCAGATTCCTTCGGGTGGGAAGTGGCATCTCACCTGTTTCCCTGACTCCATGGAGCCTAGCAGAGGACTAAGTATACTGCAGATACTTAGGAGATACTTTATTGAGTTGACTGCAGAAAACACAGGGGTGAATCATGGTAACCTTGGATTAGGTGATCTTTTCTTAGATATGGTATAAAAAGCATAAGCAACCAAAGGAAAAGATAGATAAATTGGACTAGATTAAAATTAAAAACTTTTGTTCCTCAAAGGACACCATTGCGAAAATGAAAATTCACAGGATGGGAGAGATGATTGACAGAGCATAGCTCTGGTCAAGCATTTGCATCCAGAAGACACAAAGAGCTCTGTCAACTCATAACAAAATGATGCTCTAATCTAACCATGGGCAAAGGATTTTAATTGGTATTTTACCAAGGAAGAATACAAAGGGCCAGCCAATGAATGAAAAGATGGTCAACATGGCCAGGCGCGGTGGCTCAAGCCTGTAATCCCAGCACTTTGGGAGGCCGAGGCAGGTGGATCACGAGGTCAGGAGATTGAGACCATCCTGGCTAACACGGTGAAAATCCGTCTCTACTAAAAAATACAAGAAACGGCCGGGCGCGGTGGTTCACGCCTGTAATCCCAGCACTTTGGGAGGCCGAGGCAGGCGGATCACGAGGTCAGGAGATCGAGACCATCTGGCTAACACGGTGAAACCCCGTCTCTACTAAAAATACAAAAAATTAGCCAGGCGTGGTGGTGGGCGCCTGTAGTCCCAGCTACTCAGGAGGCTGAGGCAGGAGAATGGCGTGAACCCGGGAGGCGGAGCTTGCAGTG